AGTTATTTGGCTTATATCGTGATAGATATCGTTATCGCCTGAAATGAAAAAAACATATCGTGATATGAAAAAATCTCATATCGCCCAGCTCTATTCCCACGTTAAGCTTAACAACCGATATATGGAGCGAGTGCCTCTTCTTATAGCCACTTTAATCATGAAACTGCTTAATGATCAGCTGATCGGCTTTTCTGTCGCGAGTCCGTCTCTCTTCTTTGTTTTTGGCCCACTTTGCACCAGAAAGAGGAAACCAGCGGCCGAACAACAGCAGCACGTTTAACCTCGATAAACTGTTGTTAGAATTTATTTAATATTACTTTCTACACCAGGATCTTCGTCTACGTAGCTGACTGCTGGTAACTGTGCAGGGGCAGATCTAGCAAAGTTTAGCCAGGGGGGCCAATAGGGCTTGAACAGGGAAAAGGGGGCACAAAGACATACTTTTCTTTCTTATTCTCATTTAAAATGTCTAGCTTTTAATAAATAATTGTCTGAATCTTACACCCAAAGTTTTAATCTTACGTAAAATATATAGAAGTCCATTACTGTATATAGTAACTATTAAGTCTAATATACCCTAGTAAGCTATAGTACTTTTTCCTTTGGGAAGGTACCATCTGTGCAGTCTGCAATTCTGTTGAAGAAAGATGTTGAATTTATTTAATTATTTTTGAAAATTGGTGAAAATTTAAATTAATTTCTGTGCATTTTTTTTTTTTTTTCACACTGCATCAAATTAAAGTTGATTACGTCGATTCAGCATCATGAGGTGGAGGGTGGTTCCCTTTTTTTCTTTTTTCTTTTTGCTGGAAGTTTGCAACCCTATTAGTTAGGTTGCTTAATATTTATGACGATGCTCAGTGGATCTGCGTTTGACTACTCCGCCTAGGCTGCACTGTCGAGCGCAGATCCACTGAGCGCACGCAAGCTAGCAAGACAGAAGCTAAGCTCGTTGCAACATGGCAAATTGAACCTCCCCCACCCTCATTCAGATCTGGCCTTTGGATCTATTTTGGTTTTCATGTGAAGCGTGACCCTGAAGGTAAGCGCGTCATGGACAAAAGTAAAACAGTATGTTGGATGTGCCATGCAATGCTCAATTACATTGGTGGGAACTAGTGCGTTAGCGCAGTTAGCTCGTTAACGTGTTGGCCGTCCAGCCCCACGCACGGGGCGATCCGCGGTAACTTGTTAACGGAGATTTGCCGTGTTGTGGCGTTAACGGCATTTCAACGAGATTAACGCTGACAGCACTAGTGGAAACACAACGAATATGACTGCACATTTACGCCGACATCATCCTAGTGCAAAGACAAAAACAACAAGCACGCATGCTACTAACTTTAGCCGAGTCATTTAGACAGCCGTTAGCACATGATTCTCCTTATGGGGACCTGATATGTTTAATATGCTGCTGAGAATATAGCCCAGAAGAAGCGTATAGGATAGCTTTTATTTTGGAAAGAGCCATTTCTCTGTAATAAACTCTCTTTTCCAAAGATGAGTGATTTCTCGATCAGATTTATTTTTTTTATTATTTTGTTTCAGCAACATTAAATTTAAAAACTGTACTTTTGAGTTAAAATATATATTTATAATTTTAATAAATGACAAATTAAAAAGCATGAACATTTTTGGCCTCCAGGAACACCATGAGGAATCTTGGGGGTTATTTTTAACCAGGAAAAATCCTTAAAAGTCCACAATAAACAAATATGTTGGACACATTGGATCGAAACTGGTTTAAAAATACCTTTGTGGTACAGGTGGCCCTCAGTGGCTCCACTAGTCTGTCCAGTCTTTGAAGAACAGCACTGGGACACAGAGATGACAGTCTAGCCAGCATCAGGAAGGTCAGCATCTGCAAACACAGCAGCAGCTTCAGTATCTATGATTCAAATACCTTATGGTGTTTAAACATCATGATCTCAGATATACACAAATGACTCCTGGTTTTTCACTGGACCATAAATGAAGCCAGCCACTCATATTTGAGTTTTAATGGAAGGATTAAACCTGAATTTAATGAAAATGCTAAAGGTTAAAATACACTTATGGTTTGTAACTCCGTCCTCAGGATCCAGGCCCTGGGGCTCAGACACACCTTGATGTCGTAGTGGTCCTTCAGACCGTCCTCCACGTGGTTGAGGAAGGTGAAGATGTCGAGTCGGTCCAGGCAGCTGTCCAGCAGAGTGTACATACACTCGAACGCAGCCTTCCTAAGGTCCAGCCCATCATCCACCGTGTGTTTGAAGGGTCCCATCTCCACCTGCAGAGTAGTAGGACAGTAGTCAGACGCATGAACTTGCCCACTCCCAGCAATCGATTCCCCGCTGCAGGTGTCCTCACCTCTCGGATCAGCTCCTTCCGGACTTTGGTCTCGTTGTACAGCTGCGGTAGAACCGAGTCTAGCAGCTCGCGGATCAGACTGGGTTTATTGTGGGCGGCGGAGTTGAACGTTACCAAGGCAACACGCCGCACATTCAAGTCTGGATCCTCCAGCGTCTTCAGGAAATCACCTGAGGACAAAAACAGCCAATCAGACGACAGACAGAGGGGGAAACTTTCATTTCTCACCAGAGTGTGACAAACTCTGACTTTAATGATAAAAACATCAACTTCAGACATTTTATAGTGTTTAATTAAGAAAATAAGGTCTTCTTGTCACATTTAGAGTTTACATAAAGAAGGAGAAAAAACCCTGCATCTATAGCCTTTCACAGCTGATCCAACTTGTGTTTATTACAACTGAATGGGCGTTTTTACCACAATATTACTAAATATGTGTTAATCAGCAAATTAAAAGAAGAACCAAAAGCTGCCACCCCAAGAATAAAACAAAGACCAGAAGTCTGATAGATCATTTTCTAGTTTCACACACTGCTGAAAATTGTGTCTCCTGATTCTGCTCGCATCATCAGAGCGCCACCTTCACCTCGTGCAGCTGTGAGTATAGTGACTGTGATGACAATCAGCGTCTCCAAGTCTGAGATTAAAGATGGGTGGGAGCGATTTCCACCCAGAGCATCAACCTGAAGTATGTCATGTTCACAAGTGATGGAAAGCCAGCAGTAATGCTAGCATTTGTGGTTTTTCGAGTTTTCATTTAATCACAGACCCTCGCCTGTCACCGAAACAATGAAAACATGGATATGAGCAGCAGAAAAAAAATTCATCCCCTGTTCTTGCCAACCAATGTTTTGACGACACAGACTAGACAAAAATATCTGCAACTGCCACAGCTACCCCTCAGCCTCCTAGTAAACAGACCTCTGGCATCAATTGCAAAATCACATTGTTCTGAAGTTATCGAATTCACAAGACTTTCAGAAAACGTGAGCCCTGACCTTGACCTTTAGGTCGAGGTCACCGGGATTCAAACTCGTCTGAGATTTTTAGCTGCTCCCGCTCACATTCACAAACTTCTATGTCCACACTGCCCAAACGAAACAACAACAACAACATGAAGCTTGTGGGTCCCGAGTTAAACATTCCTGAATTTCAAGCAGACCAGAGACAGCAAATGACACCGCTGACTGTCATACGACAAGACAGTTGGTCAGGCAACACTAACCCATCACAGAGAAAAACAAGAAGAGGAGCTCTGGGACAACAGTGTAAACAAAAACCAAAACCAAAAGAACCCAAAAGGGACCAAAGAAAGATAAATCATTTGGATTTGTGTGTGGGTTACCTATGCAGTTCTTCAGCAGTGGGTCAATGGGCTGCGGCTGGTCAGAGATGGTAAACTTCACAGCCGTTACCACAGAACTCCTAGCGTAAGACGAACCTGGAAACGTGCAGAAATCAATAAATCAGCGTTGATATTGATCAGCCTCATCGCCAGCAACGACCCATCTGATTGGCTAACCATATGGGTCACCTGAGAGCAGGTATCCTTTGAGGCGGGGCAGCAACGTCTCGGGGTCGATCAGCGTCAGTTTGCCCAAACACTCGGCTACCACGTTCCTGGTTCCCTCCTCCTGACACTCGCAGTGTTTGAGCAGCAGTGACCAAACAGACTCCACGTAGGGCTTCAGCCCGGAGACGGATGCCGAGCCTGCAAACAAACAAACAATGTTACAAACAAACAATGTTAAAACCAAACACACGCACGCACGCACGCACGCACACACACACGCACACACACACACACACACACACACACACAGGAAATGTGATGTGTTTTTCCTCACTGATGATCTCTTTGAGCGAGTGAAGCAGCAGGTACTGCCTCTTGGAGGAGGAGATCTCCTGCAGGACGAAGGGCAGGTACTCTGGCAGGTTCCCCACTGCTATGCTGCCCAACGCGTACGAGGCCGCCGATTTCACCTGCGACACAGAGAGCAGGTGGCTTAATCTCCACCGAAACAACTGCACAGGTGAACAACCGCAGGAAAGCTCATTGCTTCCTTTGAACACATCACGTCAAAGATTAGCATCTTTTCCATCATCTTTATTTAGTCAGTAAAATCCTTCTTAAAAAATTTTTATGGAACTTTTTCCATTTTATTCAGATAGAACAGTGCAGGAAGGGCAGCAGAGCTGGGGGATGTCACATCTGGATTCAGAGTGTAGACAGGTGTACTTACCTCTTCACTGGAGGAGGAGAAAGCATCCAGGATGACAGTCTTGAGCTCTGGTTGGCCGCTGAGGTCCACGTGGTGTCCAACCTCGCCCAATGAGAGCAAAGCGAGGAGCCTGATGGAGTCTGTGGAACGGCTGTTCTTCACATCCTGTGAGGAACACAAGGTCTCTGAATCTCATGGCTCTTACTGTTCGCTGTTCATCGGAAGGCAGTGAAAACCTTTAAAAACAGCTCAATTAACCTGCAGAGAGGTGAACGCTGCTCACTCTGACTCACCTGGATGAACTGTCCCACCACGGCGGGCCCCTCAGTGGGACAGGCTCTGGTCAGAGCAGCGACGCACTTGGCAATGGAGCAGTACGCTTGTTTGTGCGGCAGGGCGGCGCTCTGGGAGTAAACGGGGCCAGTGAGCATCCTAAGCAGGTCCATGTAGCCCAGGCCGGGAGTGTCGGTGGCCACGAGCGCCTAAGCGGGAAGTCACATGGTTAATATGCATATTCACGCCCACCATACACGCCGAAGGGTAAGCGGAGCTGGAAGTACCTGGTAGAAGTCGAGCATAGCATAGCAGAAAGCGCGCCTCCTTGCAGTAGCGGGGATCGAACCAGCGCAATAAGCTGCTGGAGGATGTTCCCTCCGCTCAGCTGACCCAGTGAGGATGGGTGAGTCACTGCCAACGTGGACAGGAAGCTCAGCGCCATCTGAGACACGTGCATGTCGCTCTCAGAGATCAGAGGAGGCAGCTCGGCCAGGACAGCATCTACCATGACCGGAGTCACCGCAGAGCTGAAGCACAGGATGAGAGGGTGAGGGTGGTGGACAAGGTGGAGCTGAGGTTTGGTGGGTGGGGCTTACTGGTGTGTGTGTGTGTTACCTGTAGTTTCTGAGCAGGATGTCCAGAGCGGCCAGCGTGCAGAGCTTCAGGGCACGCTGGTTCTTCCGGAGGAAGGAGGCGAGGATAGGAACGGCGTCGGGAAGAACGGGCCTCAGGTCGATTTTCAGTGGTGAGCCGGCAATCAGCGTCAGAGCTGTGCACACACACACACATCAAACACTAACAGCTCCAGCCCGGTGAACAATATCCAACACTTCATTTTGATATGGAAGCAGAAAAGAGACAAGCTTCCTTTAAGACACAACTGGTGTGTGGGCGGGGCTTACCTTTCACCGTTGTCAGCCTTGTGATCTCATTCTTGAGGCGTTCTAAGAAGATCAGCAGCGTTCCCGGAAGCTCAGCAGGCAGATGGTCACCTGTACCAGAAAAAAGGAAGACATTAAACCGAGGAAAGCTCTGTGACATCACATCATGTGACTGGGAAGTGTGTGCATTACCTAGGTTACAGATGATCTGCCCCATACAGGAAATGGCTCGCTCTTTCACCTCCTGGTCAATGTCGGCGGCCTTCAGGCGCTTGATGGTGCAGGTGAACAGGTCGTTAATGTAAGGGGAGGGATCGAAGCTGTCGCTGGCTTCTGATTGGCTGTCCAGTGGTCGGATAACCTGGTGGCGACACAGAACAGGATGGAGGATAAAAATCAGCTATGACATTAGAAACAGAAAGGAGGAGGTTGTGAGTTTGACTCCCACCTTTACAAGCTGTTGAGTAACGAGCAGAGCCTCAGAGGTGATCTTGTAAAAGGGGTCTCCCACGCATGACACCACGGGCGGGACAAGGGCAGGGACATGGGCATGGAAGGCGTGAGCGGGGTGTGTGACCATGATGACGTGGAGGCAGGCTAGAGCGTCGATCTTCAGGTTTGAGCTGCTCGACTTGTCGTTCAGAGAGAAAATGATACCTGCAGCGCGCGCACACACACACACACACACACACACACAATTACCTCACTGCTATCAAGACTCACACAGCTCCAAAGCGCTCCAAAGAGTAATCCCAACAAAAACAGAAACATCAAACATTCCAAGAGCCTACACAAAACGTTTTGGAGCCGTAACCTAACCCCAGCAGAAAAGCCAGCCATTCTGACATCTGACTAAGATGCTGTTTTGTGGGTGTGTTCCTGAGTCCTCCCTGAAATCTGTTGGGGGGGGGCTTACAGTTTTATGGCACCAACTCTGCACGACTGGGCCACAGAATTATGTAAAGAACTACAAAAATACTGGTGAAAAATATTTGTATCTGTGTATAGTGACTCTATTCTATCATATCTAGATTATTCTTGACCTGCGGCAGCGTCACCTGGTATGAGGACCGGGATGTGCTGAGTCAGGGCGCCCGGGAGGACATTCACCAGCTCGGTCAGCATGTTGAAGCAGCACTGACGGGTTTTCACGCTTTTCTCCTTTAGCTGTTTGTGCAGAGCTTTCACAATCATGGGGACCTGTGGAGGGCGACAGATGTTACCAGAGAATCACAGGAGACCACCGCAGGTACTTCCTGCTGCTTGCGGTCAGCCTTGCAGGATGCTGAGGGTTTCCTGTCGCCGTGAGAACCAAAGATATGCTCCTAAAAGCTGTGCAGCACTGACATCTACTGTAGGAAAGCTGAACTACAGCCAGAGACCAGTGAGAAACTGTGCTGAGAGAAAACTTTACACCCACTTCTCATATAGAGTGAGCACTGATTGGTTGCAAGGAGGTGATAACTTTTATCTCCTGTATCTAAATAACCTACTCCTTAACTTCATCTAATATCTCATACTTTATACATCTCTAATATCTCTTTATTTCATTAATTTAAAAAAAAAAATTCTGCTTCTGCGTGGCGAGCATAAAGAGAAAAGAGCTCTGTCCACAGCAGGAGCATACCTGGCTCTGCAGCATCGTCAGCGGCGTGTCTCCTTGCTCCATGGCGTCTGGATCAGCCAACCAGCTCTGAGCTGGTCTGGTCTGTTTGAGCAGCGACAAGTAGGCGTGGAAAACATCCGCCTTTACATTCTCCTCCCTCTCCTGCACGCGCATACACACAGAGGCAGGTCAGACATAAAGGTCATCGTTACACATCTCAGAGATAGAAGCCGATCGAACGACGCTACCTTGAAGCGACAGACGAGCGCAGGAGACACGGTGCGGTAGAATTCCGGGAGCATCTCATGACGAGTCGAGACGACAGCATCTAAACACTTCGCCGCCGCCCTTCGAACCTTCCAACTCATGTCGTCATCATCACTGTACTCATCGTCGCTGCCTGGAAAGGAAATGAAGAGATGGCGTCACCGATTAATGTTCAAACGCTTAATTTGGATGTAAATGAGTGGGCAGTGTCATGTGATTTCAAAGCACCAATCAGCTGAGCCTTTAACAGTTTAACATAAACTGGAGGTGTCTTACTTCAGCAGCGATAGCCAGAGACAGGGTATCAGTACCTTGATAGTCTTCGTCGTTCTGCTCAGCATCCATGGCGTTGTCATCCTCATCTTCATCATCAAAGTTGTAGTTGGGGTCGTAGGTCAGGTAGCGCAGGCAGATGGAGATGACGGTGGGGACGTGTGGGTAAACTTCTTTGGGACACCTGGAAAGAATAAAAGCAGTGAGCACACGAGGCACCGCCGCCACAGATTCTTCGGTCTGAGACGGTTTTACCTCCTGACGAAGGACTCGAAGGCCTGGATGCAGTACTCTCTGAGCTCGTCATCGTCCACGTTACAGAACTTCACCACTAGAGGGATGATCTTCTCCAGGTACTCACCTGTTAAAGAGAGACGAGAGGTCAGAGGTCAGGGAGGATTCATCTCTAAATCAGAGACATGACAGTGTGGAGGCCGGGAGTCTCACCGATCCTGTGTCCAGCCTGTCTGCTGATGGCGGCCGTGCACTGGATGTATGTCCTGGTGGTCGACATGTTGTCATTCCTCCCCAGCTCGGCGAGGAGGTGCTCGATCAGGTCAATGAATACCAGATTTCCGCAGGACATAACCAGGTGGCCCAGAGCCATGATGGTCCTCTGAAACGCCCAAAGAACAACAGGTAAGGACACAAACACCTTCCTGAAAGCTCAAAAACACAAAAGTCAAAGCAGTTGGACAGACCTTTCTGACGGCCAGCCGGGGGGAGGTGAGCTGAGGCAGAAGGCAGCTGAGGATGGAGGGGTGGAAATTCACCAGCAGACCCCCCTGTCTGCAAACAAAGACACGGAGAAGAACTCAAAACTTCACCCATCCCCACCAGCGCCATCCATCGGCGACCGCCTAACTACGTACCTGCAGAGCATGTCGGCCATGATGTCAAGTGCCTCCAGCTGCACAGACACGTCTTCCTGTTTGGCGATAGCGCTCGTCAAACGACCCGTTATCTTCTTACAGACGCTGGCCGCTAAAGCCGAGCCTGAGACGGAGGCAGGAGGAGAAAAGATGAATCTTCACATTTTTCACGGCAAAACGATCTGAAGATTCATGAAATCACTGGATGCTGAAAATTTTCACATTTTACAGATCAAAACTCGCTCGCTCAGAAGTGATACTGAATTAAATATGTGCTGTTATGAGATCAGTACTAGTCAAATATTTTACCACTGGAGGCCGGCGGTAGCTCTCCAATGACTGTTTTGAGTCCAATGGAGGAAATGTCTCTAAGCTGCTCTTTGTCTGAAAGCATGTTGGTGCACAGAGTGTCCACGATCGTCTCCACCTGGTACTCCTTCACCTTACTGACCAGAGGGCCCAGGCTGAAACAAACACACCCACAGTCACACACATGGACACGATCAAACAGGAAATAGGAAATTAAAACTTAAAATCAAATAAATTACCATTTGACAGCCAAGTTCTGAACTTCTCCATTCTTGTCTTCCAACAGTTTGAGAATCATCCTCACCACCTGTTCATCAGTGTCAACCAAAAGTTCAATAAATTATCAATAAATTATAATCATTCATTAGACAGACACCAGGTGAAGCAGTGCGAGGTCATACACACGGACCTTCCTCTCGCTGTCGTCGTCCAGCTTGATCGAGTCTTTCTGAAGCTCCGTCATCAGGTCGTTAGTTGCCATAAATCTAGAAAACAGCAAACAAACAAACGAATAAAGTGAGTCGAAGTGTGCGGTGATTAAACGCACAGATGGGCGAGTCATTAGTACAACATCTGCTTCAGACAGAGCTGAAGTCTTAGCTTTCCTCCTGAAAATCTCAGAAAAAAGAATTGATTTTAATTTGAGTTTTAAAGCTTGGAGTAAAACATCCAACAGCTGAAGAGACCAGGAAATGGAAAGCACTAAAAGGGAAAAGGACATGACAAAACGGGCAACAAAGAAGGACTTATTTGTTCTGCTAGAAGATCAGATCATGAACTCTGAAAAAAATGCATATTTAAGACTCATCAGTCCATGTTCTTCCCAAAGTGTTTTCACGTCAGTTTATTCTCCAGCTGTCCTAATGAAACGGTTCATTTTTACACCAAAACCCCGTTAGGTCGAGCTCATTACAGCAGGATTTCAAACAAGCAAGTAGACGATATAAAAATAAAATAAAATAAAAAACCCTCGCTCCCCTCACACTGAGAGGATCAGTAGAGGATTTAGCAGCAGGTGTCTTTTTATTTTTGTTTGTGTGTCAGAGCAGTGAAACGACCCTGTCACTACCCGATCCGTACCGGAAACCCGATCGGTACCCCGCATGCGCAAATCTTACGTCACTTCCTCTCTTTGCCAACATTGCGACATTCAATATATTTGAATGATACGGTTAGCGCCCAGTTAGCTCCTAGCATTTCTCAACAGCTCTGCCTCCTTTTCGACTGCCCGGGACATTTAAACAATGGATAATCCGTATACAAAGAAATTCATGCTTTTCTCCTCAACAGAGAGCGTCCCCCGATTGAGCAACAGCGCCGTAAAATAAGAAGAATGGCGCCTAATTACAGAGTTAATAATGCAGACTTTGTAATATCTCACGTGTAGATTCATCAGCCAGATGAAGTGTTTACTGACAATTGACAGTGATAGCGCACATCATCATCACTATTCCAACAATCCTCTCCTCACAGACAAGCATAAACACACTCGACTATCGCTAAATCAGATTTAACACACGTTTGTAATGACGATAATTCAGTTTATAATAGGGTTTATTCGCTCGGTCAGCAGGTGGCGGTATCCTCGTACACTGGGGAGTAAACTGCCATTAAACGAACAGAAGAAGAAGAAAACATCTGCACATGCGCGGTACGGATCGGGTAGACCCGATTTGTACGGTCAGACTTTACACATGCGCAGTAAGGATCGGAGAGTCCTGATCCGTAACTTTCTTTTTATTTTTCGTTTTTGTCTACATTGTACTGAAATGCTTCATTATTGCAAACATTTTAAGATATACTTGTTATTCTTAACATCTTAACAGATACTCTGACCCATAACTATCGTAAAACGCTACGACCGGAAGTAGAAACCTTTCGCGCATGCGGGGTACCGATCGGGTTTCCGGTACGGATCGGGTAGTGACAGACCCCCTGCACGTTTCGCACCAAACTCTCGGACTTCCCGTCTGTGACGTCATCCAACACAACCGGTTTGGCAGTGGGTCACTGATGTCACACTGACCTCCACAACCTGAAGTCTGACTGCTGTTGGGTGTCAGGATGAAGCCCTCGGACCTGACGCTGGTGCAGGACAGTTGAGAGATCAACCTTCAGAGTATTTAAGTTTTAGTCTTTTAGCTCCTCAAATGTGCATCAGCCAAAGTCCTGAGTGCTTCATTCAGACATGCCGACCTCTGCTAAAAGAGCTTTTATAAAAACCAACGAAGCAAACTGGAAATAAATGAAATTATGTAAGACCCTCTCTTTTGTCTGAGCTGCGTCTCTCTAAAGCGAGCTTGGTAAAAATAATCTGGAGGATGACAAACGAGCCGTTTTAGGACACTTTTATTAACTTCTTTAAATGGATCCGTTTTTGCTGCAGATCCAAATCCTTTAATGCAGAATCAAAGGTGCTGTCAGTCCACCGAGGTTCACATATATAGAGCCCAATACAGAGGATTGAAGCTGCCAACATCAGAGGGAAAGAAATGTATAAACTGCGTTTTTCTTTGTACTAATGCACATATTTAATACATGTTTTATTTTGTTTATTTTACCTAATAAGCCAAGTACTAAATTCTCAGAGAAAGTCAGATAATATGCAAAAATAAAGGCATAAAATGTAATGAATTAAAAGCATATATATAAAATGAAAGAAACCCTGAGATGTACAGGGCAAACTGTAAAAAAATATTCAAAATATGTACCATCAGTAAATAAATTTTAATAAAAGAGGCAATAAACCTATTATAAATATACACAGTGATGTCAAAAAATATATTATTGACAAAATAATGAATTCAAATTTCACAAATTACGCTGAATTTATTATTGGCATTAATAAAGAAAAATGTGACAAAGTATAATGAATAAAATCCACATTTAATTTACTCTCGGATTTCTTTACTTTGTCATTAATTTAAAAAAATAGAATTGCTTATTTAACTAACAATGAATAACTTAAGGAATTTTTAAAAATTGAGTAAATAAAGATCAATAAAACTATGAAATAGAATCTACCAACTGTGGGCATTCATTCATTTATAAATTGAAATCTTCGCCATTTCATTCATAACCAGTTAATTATAAATCTAATCATTGTCTGCTTTTTTGTGCATTTAATTCTGCATTCTTTCCCACCTTAAAAATGTTTCATTATATCTTTAATACATTTACTTTCTTTTTAATTATGAAAATAAGGAGTGGGTCATTCATAGAGTATCAGTGTGCAAACTTTAGCATTAAAACAGAAAAATAAGTCTAACAATTATTATATTAATGAATAAATCTGAGAATAAACAATAAACACATTTTAAAATGTAATGAAAAATTAAATACCATTAAATGTTATATTTACATGAATGTATTTTATAGATTATGCCTATGTTTATCTTCCATATAACAGTACTGGGGCACTGAATATTAGTATATTCTTTTTGGCATTCTGTGAATTTTATTTCATTTTTGGGCAATTTCAGACATCTGCACCAAGCACCTCATGCTCCATACGTTTATAAAGTAACTAATATGTAGTTCCTGTCTCACAGAAGCCGTGTGGAAACGCTCAGATCAGGCCTAAAAGTGGGTCAATTTTTACCCAACAGGAGGCAAAACTGACAGCTTTTCATGATATCGAGGATTCCTTGTTCTGAGAGGGCGGCCGAAGCGATGAAGCTGATTATCTGTGCTGCCAGCTTGTGATCGTCCCCGAGCAGCTGACACAAAGAGGGCCAGGCTGCTCTGAATTTCAAGCTAAATATGAGCTTCTTTTTACTGGTCAAAGAGTCTGATCCAAGCCACTCTGTACCTCTTTATGCAACATTCCTCACAAACACATCAACATGGCTCAAAGTACGACCACCACAAAAAACCAACACAATCAAGCAAAAACATACCGAGGGAAATAAAGACCGCACAGATAAAACTAAAGTAGTATTTATGTTTAAAATTATCTTAGTATTCTAATTTTGCTAAGATCCTTTTTTTTTTTTTCTGCCACGTACTTCTTTCTCCAGTGGCAAAGTTTTACGTTAACAGGCATCAGACTGCTCTTGGAAGTGAAGCCCCGCCCAACTGATGCTTATGAATGTCGTTCAATGGTGGCTTAAAGGGCGAGGAGCTAAAACAGCTCGTTTTAGACCAAGGATGAAGGGAAACACAGAGGCTGAACATGAGTTAAATGTGGCTTATTTTGAACTATGAATCATGCAAAGCTGCGCTTGCACAGTCTAAGAACAAAAACGTGGAGACCTGGGATCGACAACTCTTTTCTTTCCTGTTCCTGAACAGCTGATCAGTTACTTCAATCAGCTCTCAATATGTTTACCCTGAGTTAATGAAAGAAAGCCATCATCAATGGAGCTCCAACACTGTAATTCACCATGTAAGGTGAATTACAGGTAAATAAAGAGCAGATGAGCAGGGCTATGAAGACGTTTTAGTGCTGACCGTGATATTCAAACAGGAGGGAAGAAGAGAGTGATTTTAATCAGCTCTGTTCACTCTGTCATCATCACTGACTGAATGAAACTTGATAACCGCACTTTAACTTATAGATGACGCAGTAATCCTAATTTGATTAGATTTTTAAATCTAATTATCCATTTAAAATGTTGTTTGGCATCATTTAATCACTGAATCTCAATCGATGAACACACGTAATGAGTTTACAATCAGACTGTGTGCAGCTGCTTCCAAAAACTCACTTTTAAATTTTAAATAAATTTAGTTCAGTTTCATCTTTGCATCTCCAAAATTCCAGTCGTGGCAGATGTTTTTCCATCAGTGTGATCAGTTACAACACAGATTAGTTTGATTTAACCACTGTTTCTCAGTAACGTACAGTAAACGTTAGTACTGACAGTCTGACGGCTGTGTTACTGCCCACAGTCTCGGAGGCAGAAAGATGAGACTACAGTTTATTCTGAGCTGATTATAAATCAGTGATGTAGTCGCAGAATCTGCCCTCAAATATTGACGATTGACTGACCTTAAAAGCGCTTGTGTAAAGTAAAAACACACTTAACACCTAAACTGGGATTTCAGTGTGTGTAAAATTGTCTGTAGATGGATTCATTCCAATCTTCGGCGGCGACTTCATGAATGAGGAAATGAAACTGAGTGTCAGTCAGCTGGTTCAGGTGCAGTAAGAAGGGAGGAGCCAGAGAACAGTTTTAGTTCACAGAGTCTGTTACCATGGTAACTGGCACAGAGTTTAAGTTTACTGTGAACCAGAAAACCCAGTTTCCCCCTGAGCTCAGGATTAACAAACTCCTGGCGCAGGGCCTGATGACGTTCTTCTTCCTGTCAAATCAGTTTATAAGCTCAGTTTTGAACGCTCCAACATAAATAAATCATTGCATATTTGTGTTCGTCTGACGCTAACGGACCTCCTGTCAGACGCTTCATCTGCCTTCACTATTTGCTAGACGATATCAGCTGCAGATGATCAATACAAACTGTGTCACTTCAGTCTGCCTGTTAATAAACTCATTAATCTGAAGCCTCAGTTCAGGCTGCGACTGCAGCATTTCAATTTCACCTGCTGATTATACTGAAGATGAATCGATTAAACATTATGAAAAACAGCAACAGAAAACAGCAAGAAGGCCTTTTGTGAACTCCCCTTTGTTTTTCAGATACTGTCATTTATATATGTAGGTTTTATCCCCGAGTTTCTGTGGTTAAAACCCCTATGGTGGGGTGGGGGATGCAGTTGGTAATCAGTTAAAAAGCAGCAACTGCTTTTTATGTCATCCTGAAAATGACAAAGAGGAAGAACAGGTTGACCAAGAGTTTCCCTTGTTGGCTTCACACTTATTTTCTACAAAGAGCATGCTCCGTCACCATCATCTCAGCTTACACCAGGGCTCGCAGTTTTTGGTAGCCCAAATAAATTTAAGTAGCCCGAATAAAAAAAAGAGCAATTTTTTGATTGATGTTTTGTTTCCATTACAATATTATAATGTATAATATTGTAACGGAAACAAAACATTAATCAAAAAACTGTTGAAACACAAATTATAACATTGTCTAAAAATTACAACTCAATCAACTCAAATACTTGGTTCTAATTGAACAGAAATTTCTATGAACTTGTAAGAACTGTGTAGGACATGAATCAGTCTGTGTCAGATCCTGAATTTGAAATTTCCACTGAAGTCACGGGTAAGAGACAAGTGGAACCAAGATCGAGGCCATTTGCTTTTTGAAGTTTGCAAAGACTGCTAAATTTTGCCAGTGGTAGTTCACTCTTTACAACATAGTACGCTGTTCTAAACAGATTTTCAGGTTTATTTTTAGTATGTTATTTGCAATTGTTGTTTGTTCTGGGAAAGATATTGCAGACTGAGCAATAATGCATTTCTTGCATTTCTCATGGGTTCTAATGGGGGCCTTTCTTAAAATGACTGGTCCCAGTAACAAAGGCGCTTGTCGACTCAGAAATCGAGGGAAAACCAACAACACACCCGGCAGAACATTGTGTTATTTACACAGGTGCACATAAGTGGTCCGCATGTGCGCATTCACTGTCAAAATAAAAGACGCGCACCAGATAAGAAGTTGTGACACGAGTTTGCGTCCATATAAAAGGCACTGTTTTTGTCCGCTAGAGTAGATTTTCACGGCACATTCCGCACCACAGCTGTGCGTTCATCATTTGTTTGAAGCCAGCTCACCTCCTGCAACCACTTTTCCGAGAATACGCGCTTCTTTTGTGGTTCGGACTCCTGACATTTCTTTGGAGGTGGAGGAACATCACAGTAATTGCTTAAAGGAGCTTCTTCGACATCTTTAAGAGTTCTAAACAAATGTCTGTCCTCCTGAAAATCTTATGTACGCAAACCCGCTTTTGGTGCCGGGCTGATATTTTGTCCCAGTCCAGCCCTGTTTAAATCCCATTAAATTCAATTAAGGGTTAAAGTGTGCATTATTGGCTTCTATTACAGTAGCTGTCTGAACTAGACCTCTGGATTGGAGCGTTTGTGCATTTTTAAAAACATTTTTAATGAAATTATTTGACTAATAATATGGCTGTTGTGTAGTTAATCATACTAACAGACTATCCAAGAAGTCTGAGCCCCAGTTTAGGTTAAAGACGAACCTAGATCGAAGATTTAATTTGGATTTTAATTAGCAGGTATGCTGACCCTGTACAGTGTACTGATGCAGCTTCCATGTTTCTGAATATGGTCTCTTCTTACTCCAACAAAAACAAGAACTCAGTCCAGTAGCCAAAAGGTGCTGCCACTCTAGCTGCAACTATCTTTTAAATACACTATGTATAGTGCTGGTTGCTGCCCCACAGCAGGCTTCTAAAAGCTGACCCCTCAGGAGGACAGTAGTATTTCATATTCTACTCTTGACTTGGTTCAATATCAAAGAAAGCAGCTTCCCAGAAGCTCTGTTACCTACTGTTCAAACTGTCTGAAACAAGCCAGGTTTGTGTGAAACCAGACATTTTCTGACTAACAGAAATTGTTCCTATTTGTTTCCTATCTGAAACAAGCCACTTACTGTCTAAAAACAACTACCTTCTGTCTGAAACAAGTCGTTTGTCTACTTTCCTTCCAGAAAGTAGCCAATTCTCTGTATGAAACAAGCTGTTTTGATGGAGCTACAGCAGCTTATTTCAGGGAGGATGAACTGCAAGGCTGTACCGAGGCCCAGTGAGAGACAAAGCTGGCTTATTTTGAACTGTGACTCACGCAAAGCTGCTCTGACGAGAGTTTTAAAACAAAACAACCACAGAAATGGGATCAGAATAAGACACCTTTAACGCTGACAGAGTCTATGTGAGTGCAAGGCTGAAGCTCCGACCTTCTCCGTCTGTTTACCGGCGTCACCACACCCCCGTTAGCTGGAGCGACACTTTGACGTTAAACCCGCCCGTTTCCCGGGAGAAATCCCACTAGCGGGGGGCTACCTTCACATTTGAATCTACATCACAGAGCGCCGTCACTCATGCTAAGCTAGCCTGCGGATTGACAGAAGTTGGTGCTAGCCCGCTAGCCTGCAGGCTAGCTGCTAATGCTAGCAGCTAACCGCGGATATGACGATGATCAGACAGGTGGCATGCTAGCTGTTAGCCTGAGAGCGGCAGGCCCGCCGCAGCAAAGCGCCGCTTTCAGTGCGAAATAACAACACTCCGATGCGATAAACAACAACTGACGGTCAGATCCCTCCACCCGGGCGTTGTTTTACCTGAAATCCTTGTCGCTGGAGGTCATTTTCTCCAGAAGGTTGGAGATGTGGTACGAGGCGCTCGCCATGTTGGTGCCGTTAGCCTCCTACTAGCAGAGTGCGCTCGGTGAGGATGTTCCGGCTGCGGGCTCTGGTGTCTCTGGCTGGCTGTGTGACCGCCCTGCTCGGATGATTTCGGGGGTAGAGAGTGTGTTTCTGTTCTTCTTCCACTTCTTCCACCTTTCTCTTCAGCTACAGCGACTGTCGCATCCCGGGGCTACCAGTTTGGTGTGTTTGAATGGAGCTCCCGTTCTCTCCGCAGAGGGGCGGGGTTAGCGGCGCTGGACGATGTGGGGTCGAAGGTCACAGTTTGACCAATTTTTCTGTCAGTTTGTCTTTCTAAACCCTCATAAAAGGTCATTTTACCCCAAGTAAAATGAAAATCTGCATAAAATACTCACCCGAGTCCAAAGTGTGAATTAAAACGATTCACTGAAAGTCTTTAAATCATAAATTCGACATTTTATCTTTTTTTTCCTTCTTTTTCCTTTTTTTTGACTGAGGTCAAAAAGAATCAGATTAAGAGGTTTTATTATCACGTGGACAGTAAAATTAAGTGGTGATACATAAAATATATTTTAAAAAAATAGTTAAATAGAGGCCAGCTTAAAAAAAACAGTGAGGCAGTAATAGAATGATAGCAGCAAGAGTGAATGGGAGAGGTTCACAAGATGTTAGTGTGACCTTCTCTGATTGATGGTTTGGACATGTGGAGAGGAGGGATAGTTGCTGTATTAGATAAAGGATGTTGAAGATGGAGCTGCCAGGCAGGAGGAACAGGCAAGAAGATGTCAGCTTAAAAAAAAACGGACTTGGAGAGATAAGATTAATGATTGCACTGAGGAGGTGACAGTCAGTCATCAGGGATAATGTCCAGTGTTGATAGGAAGGCAACTTTTAATTTCTCTTGGAGATACTTCCTGTCCTGAACAGAGGGGCTTCGATGCCACCCCGTGACTGAACTGATGATGATGCATTCAACTGCACATCTGTAGAAACTGTTGACGATTTTGGTCCACCAATCTGTAAAGATCTGGGAACTGAGGAGAACACTTTTGGAACTTTTGGGAGAGCAATATTGTCCCATGGACCAGATGTTGCACTAAAACCTGCGTATACCTTTTAGCATTGGTGATGTATTTCCAAATGTGAAAGCTGCTAATTCCATTGACAGTAATACACCCCAATACGATCAGAAATGCAGGCTTTGAACTGAGCGCTGATAACGAGCTTGGTGGCCCCTCTTCCATTTAGCATCTGTGTTTTCCAAAAAGAATGTAAAACTCTGATTTGTCTGACCTCAGCCTGAAGATCACAGGCAACCAATATTGCGCACAGAGATTCCTCCAGAATCTTTCAGTTATTTAGCGTAGATGATGAGAAATTCAAAGTTAAATTTGATTTATAAGATTTGTTTTTCCATTTTAATGAAGCCTTAGGGAAGATTTAAAAAAAAGATAAAGATACTAAATGATTATTTAAAACACAGCCTCAGTCATTGAACTCATACATCAGAAATAAAAGACACAAAGGATAAAATGATTTTTTTTATCTTCTAATTCTAACTTTCTGCATAAAAGTTAAACAGAATCACATATGAAATTTAAAAACAAAACAAAAAACGTCCCCCATCAGGACATAAAAGTTGCGTCCTTCAGTCATTCTGCTCTGCCCTATATATTTAAGATGTAATTTCACACTCAATTCCATGAAATCCTTTCACGGCCCCTCAGATTTACCCACTGTCGCTGCAGAGGGACTCAAAACTGCAGGCTGAAAACATCTGGACTAAACTGTGTTCTTGAATCCAGCAGTTTTACAAGCAGTGTTCAATGCTGTGATTCACCTGCAGCAGGTGTTTTTATTCAGAGCCTCAGTGAGAGCTCCGCCCTTTAACAGGATCTATAAACTGTGTGTGTGTGTGTGTGCCTGTGTGTGTTTACAGCTATTTTGAGCATATTATCCTCTGCTCAGAAATGAATCACCACTCACACACACACAGTAATTTTATACATGCGGGAGACGCACTCAGGATATTCAGGATGCTGTTTTTGTTGCTTGAATGCATTCAGTATGCAATTCAGTCT